TTTGTAGACTCATAAACTTCTCAGTTATATTAGATTTATTGACGAAAACCAGTATACTAACGAAAGTGCAATAATTAAAAGCGTTTGTGTAAAATGTATATTGAGTACCAGGTACTGGTCTTCTTATTTTTTGCCGTCTTTGGCAGCCGACGCGACCTGTTCTATAAAATGCACTGGGGCCTTATCGTATCTGACATTATCGTCGTGTGCTCGTATTTGTACGCAGGACGAGCTTGAGCTTCAGTACCACTTCGGTCGGAGAGGCAAATATCAAAATGGAGAAATTAGCAAGCATTGTACTCGGTGCGTTTCCCCCATTTTCACGACTGCGAGAGGTGATAAATTCGCGCCGACGGCAGAAATGACAATAAAACACTCGTATTTATGCCCTCCTCTAGTAGACGAAAGCTAGGGGTGTTTAACAATGCGCGGCATTTACGGACGCTCTTGATTTCCGTTGTTTGATTTCACGATTAAACTCACTTCTTTTAACAAAGAATTCGGCACAAATCTCTATCAGGTGAAAAACCCAGATTTCGTCCTGAAGACCCCTGCGCCCCCGGAGCTTATGTTGAAAGTTGAACCGGCGTCGCAGACAAGCTGAAAACTGCGAAAGAAAGTGGTCATATGGTTAGTAATGAGTAGGGTTCCGTGTTTTTGGAGTTTTTTCGTCAAGTGCGGAGGGTGTCTTTCTGAGTTTATTTTTCGCCGAAAATTCGAAGTTTATCGGAGTTTATTTTTGTTTGATTCCGAATTCTCCGAAATTTGGAGCTCAAATTCGCAGTGTTCCTTATTAATAATAAACAAATAATATCCAAATGTAAACATATTCTGGGAAAAAGAAAAACGCGATTGTATCAATTGATATTTTCCTCAGTTGGATTTGGCGTTGGTGCCATTACTACTGGCAATACTAATTTGTCCTAGAACAAAAGTGGCACACAAGTGTTATTTCGATAAACGTGAATACCTTAAAATCAATAACCTACTGGAGGTAGTCGCTGGGAAGCCTGTTTTCATTCCATGCTATTTTATCAACCTACCGCGCGGCTGCAAGAGATAGAGTGGAAAAGGATGTAATAGAGAGGTTTCAAGTGTTCTCTTTTCCACTTTATGTAATATCTATGGTCCATAGCTTTCGCGGTTACAAAAACACAACCTCTCCTTCCTCTCAGGGACAAATAGTATGGCCCAAACCGGAAATATACACAGTGACTTTTTTCTTGACCCGATACTACAATGACATGTTGTCTTGACCGAAATTCGAACAGTATGTATGGTGGCATTTTTCCCGGGACATTTACTCTACGCGCTGATTAAATTATTAATTGTAAAATATATTTGTGTGTGTGTGTGTGGGCGGGGAGGGGGGGGGGGGGTGGGCGGAGATTGGCACATCGAAATTCAGAGTTTATCAGATTAATCGGAATAGACGAAACTTTTACCGGCGGGTGTTTTCCGAATTTATCCGAAAACTCGAAACTGTAGTTCCGAGTCACATCCCCCCCCCCCCCCCCCCCCCGCCACACACACACACCACTCCAAACGCCCTCGAAAATACTGAACTTTCTCAGTTAAAACCGATTGTGGAAAAATGAATTCAGCGTACTTTTACCGGTTATTTTCGGTTTAACCCGAAAACGCTCAACCCTAAATATAGCGTTTGAAGTTAAAAAAAATGCATTTCTCAAATAAGGCACCGTAAAGGAATTGAGGTTGTAGGCCAATTCGTCGAAAGCCAACTCGTCGACGGCCAATTTTTCGAATCTGTCCTTTTGGAAGCAAGTTCGGAGTGGGGAGTATACTCGAAGCGCGCATGACAATTCCCTGGGAAGTACCGATGCCCCCGCTGGTCCGTATTCTGGCTTTTTGTGGCGTGAGCTACACAGGCCGAGGTTGAGCTGTTTCGCGTGGTTCGCATAATGAGCCGTGCTCCGTGCTGCGCATGCGCGAGGAGCAGTGACGTCACACAGCGCACAGCTGGCGCGCCGGAGCCGCCGCCGCCGCGCCCGCCTCGTGGGTCTGCGCATTCCAGAGGAGTGACGTCATAGCCGCGGCAGACGCTCTGGCGCCACCGCGTGCCCAGCTGTGCGCCTCCGTTGCGCAGTAGCCAGTCTGACGCTGCACCGGAGCCGCTTGATAGCGCCTCTCATTTTGTACGCATAAGCTCACGCTACGTATATCCTAGGGAGCCTTCATGTGCGAAGCCCACATGAAGGCACCCTAGTATATCCTGGCATAGCCGAGCTAAGCCACCGCAATTTGTTTGAGCAGTTTTGCTCATTTTGGCGCGCAAGTTTGCTGGTGATATAGTCTACAATAAATAATTCAATCGCACGGCAATGTGCTGTCGTTAGTTGTCAAAAAAAAAACAGAAGGCGTGTGCGGCAACGCTGCGTTCAGACCATGCTGCAGTGTAAGGCCACAGCATTGACGCAACGGCATGTTACTGCTTCACCGGTTTCCACTCGATGAAGGCCTTCGTCGGCAATAATCTGTGAATTTAACTCAAAACGTACAACTTCTCGCCTCCAAGCCCTAGCAGCGTGTTTCCAGGAGATTTTATCCGCGGCGAATGAGCCCCGCAGAATCGGTGCCCTTAAATATACGCTCCACATTAAAGTCACCTTATCTTACCGGTTCTATCAATGCATCTGTAATCGGCGCATCTCCCGCTTTTTTTTTCTTTTTTTTTTTTTTTGGGGGGGGGGGGGGGGGGGGGAGGGGCGTTTTACGCTTAGGTGGTAATTACGAAACAACGAGTTCTACGGAACCTCACCGGACCGCCACAAACCAGGCAGTTCATAACTTGAACTTATAGATATATTTTTCCGAATAACTTTGCATCTTTCTCTGATACCTAAAAAAAGAACCAGACAACGCAGCCAACTCTAACTACCCAGTCTATTCAGATTAGCGTAGGTAAGTAGTAGTAATTACTGCTAACTTTATTTATTTTTAGTAATCACACAGCAGCAGCACTCGGGACACTGACTTGAGTGCGATCCCGTCGCCGCCAGCGTACATTTTTTTTTATTGTTTCTCCACTAGCTGTTAAATAATGCCATGCAATGTCCAACTCGTTTTCTTTACGTTCTGTTTTGTTTTCATAAAACGCTACCTATAACAGCCTTTTTACATGCGTGCTGTTTCGTCGTTGTGCTGTTTTGACGCCGTGCTGTTTTGGCACGCGCTCTTCTGTCGCTTTGCCGTTTTGACGCCGTGCTGTTTTGTCGCGTGCTATTTTGACGCGTGCTGTTTTGTCGCCGTGCTCTTTTGACCCTGTGCTCTTTTGACGCGTGCTGTTTTGACCGTGCTGTTTTGTCGCGTGCTGTTTTGTCGTGTGCTGTTCTGTCGCGTTCCCGTGGTACCGCGGTGTGAGAATCGCGCTCCCTAGCACCTGGATCATCGACTTCACAATGAAGGTGCTTGCCAACACCTTTCTGACGTGAAAAAACAAACTAAGGCTCTAATACTGCACGTATATATCAAAATTAGTATTACTCACGCGTCGGGAGACCTAGCCTCGTACTCTTGATCTACGACGATCAACCAGATGACAGCCGTTTTGATAGGCACCAGTGCGCCCCCTATAGGTCGTGAAAGTTGCGAATTGTAAGGATGGGAGCGAGTGGTTACTTAAGCACGGGCGCGAGGGTCTCTTGTATGAGGGCGAGGATCTCCTCTGTGGTGTGGAATCTAAGGGACGGGGCTTGTAAAGCGTGAGAATAGGCGGGGTTATTGGTGGGTTCTTGAGGTTGAGGTGGGTGTGGGATAGGAGAGGGGTAGTTCTCCTTTGTTGGTGGTGGCCTCTCGCATCTGCGTCCTGCGGCCTGAAAGGTGGCCTGGATGGCGGAAGTCCGGCTGGTTCGGCTTTTGGGACGCTGCCCTAGGGGCATTGCGGTTAATCAGGGGCGGGGGGTCTCTTGAGTTTGGTTGCCTGATGGCTCCGGCTGTGGCTCCGCGGGGGCTGCAGCATGGCGTAGCAATTGTTGGTAAGTAGGGCGAGCCATTCCTTGTAGTCGTGTTTTGGCGCTGGCTTCCCACGCGTGTCTAGTGGCGCTTGTGCGCATTAGTCCAGGCCGGGGCGGCCTTGTCAACTTCTGCTTTAACTGGACAGGCAAGAGACGATATTGGGTGTTTGCCTTCGTAGTTGAAGAAGATGGGTTCTGCTGCAGTTGGGGCAGCGCGTGTACTCGGCTATGTTTGGGCAGACGTCCACTCGATGTCCGATTTCGTGGCAATGGGGGCATTGCTTGCTTCGGGGGTCTAGCGCTCCACGTCAACTATGTTGCACGATCTAGCTTGCTTTGTTCGTTTGCTCGTGTTGATACTGAATAAAAATGTTGGTTTTCGTAAAAGCGGCCCCGTTGCTCAGTGAATTGTGCAACAGCCGTGATCCCACCCATGATTTCAATACCGAGAAGATATATAGACAATAATTTGCGAGCCATTTGGTTAGAGGCAATGGGGCGCTCGGCTCCCATCAAGTTTGCCCTGGTATGTTCCCGTCCTACCCCTTCGAAAGAAAAGTAGCTCTCAAGTTTTGCAGTGCACCTGACTTAAAAAAGCGAGTATATTTAGGTCAGGTTTTAATAGTGCGTCGTGACGCTCATTCACCTTGCTCGCTGGTGTTGTGCTGTTACTGCAATCTAGTTGAGTTTGGACTTGCTAGGGTTAGCCGCATGGCGTTGGCCTCAGTCTGTGCCGTGTGCGTTTTTCTTCCTTTTTTTGTTTTGGACTCGTTCGATCTGGAATCACCATGTAACGCGCTACTACGAAGCACCGTCTTTTACGGTGGTTCTTATGGATATAAAAGTACAGTTTTTTTATGACATCCAGTCGTTCGCTATCTGAGGAGTGGTCGCTCTAAGGCGCGCCATGGAATCAGAATAGTAAAAGACGGTGAACGCCAAGTGAGCGCGTCGGAACGTTAGGCCTCGCCACCTTGGTTCAGCTCGAACTCGAACGCGGGACGCCGCCACGCAAGCTTGGACGAGATGGACCCTTCGGACGGGGACTCGGCGGCTGGTCACGTCAGTGAGAACGCCATAAAGGATCAACCGCCACAAGACTCGAGACCGCGAAGAAAAAAAACGTTGTCGCAGTACGCCTTGCTTAACTACGAAGCGAACCGGGACGAGCAACGTCAAAAGCTCGATTGCGTCTGGGAGCGCATCGCAAACGATCTTCGGGAAGTCGAACAGGCTACAATACAAACGCCGAAACGCAGCAAGCGGCGACGGGCCGTATACGAAAAGAGTACGGTCGTTACCAAGCGCTGTCGGAACGCTACGTGGCCAACTTGTCGGGGATCAACGCAGAACAAAGCCAGCTAGAGCTAGCCCTTCAGAAGACAGCGGATCGTGACAGAGCTCGCGCAGTTCAGAAAGCCTTGATGGACACCGGAAAGACGCCAGACCGCGCCACGAAGTCTCGGGACTCGGAACACGCTAACTCGGAGCACTCGTCGAAGTCTGCCGGGCCACGACTTCACGGCTCGAGACGTTCTGGAGGATCGACACGCTCGGAACACTCGATTGCGACCACGACAAGCACGGCTGCAACGAGGGCACGCGCCGAGGCTGCAGCGGAGCGCACTCGTGCTTCTTTCACCAGAAAGGAAGTGGCCATGAAACTTGAAAGAGCAAGGCTCGAAGAAAAGGAGAAGAGTGCGGCTGCGGCTAACGAGCGCAGAAAAGCAGAACTAGACGCCGAGTTACAGATTCTACAGCTGGAAAGGGAAGCAGCTGCTATGGAAGTTCAAGCAAAAATCCTACAAGCGGCGGCAGAACAGCACGGCGGGAAGCATCGCTCTGACCGAACCATCTCAGATGTATCAGAAATCCGTGCTCAGCGCACTGTAGATTATGTGCCCAACCAGGCTGCCGTCCACAATGGCTCAAATGAACGGCCTGCAGAGCAGGTTGCTCCAGAATTGAGTGGTGTGCTGAAATACCTGGTCCGTCGAGATTTGGTCAGCACAGGACTCGTCAAGTTTGATGACCACCTCGAGAATTACAGAGTATGGAAAGCCACATTCAAAAGTATGGTGCGAACTCTGGAAGTTACGGCAAATGAAGAGTTAGATTTTCTCGTAAACTGGCTGGGCCGTGAGTCTTCGGTCTATGCAAAGAGGCTGCGTTCAGTACATGTCGACGACCCAGCGGCGGGGTTAGAGGTAGTCTGGGAAAGACTGGAGGACTGCTACGGGCAACCCGAAGTAATAGAAGATGCGCTCATCAAGAGGATCGGAAGCTTTCCTAAATTCTCCGACAAAGACACTCCCAAACTACGGGAACGGAGAGATCTGCTTCTGGAACTGGAAGCCGCAAAAGCTGATCCCTACTTGACAGGACTCAGCTATTTGGATACGGCAAGAGGGGTGAACCCCATCGCGGAGAAGTTGCCACACCGTCTCCAAGAGATGTGGATCTCGAAAGGCTCAAGGTACAAAGAAGATGATCACGTCTCTTTTCCCCCTTTCTCGTTCTTCTCGAAGTTTGTCCGAGACCAGGCCAGGATGCGGAACGACCCGAGCTTTGTTTTCGGCGCAACGGGAAGCACCTCTCTGAGGTTTCCAAAAAATGAGAAGGTCACGGCAAGAGAAGGCTTCAGGAACACGCCCGTTTCAGTCCATGCGACCGACGTTACTCCAGAAGCCGTCAACCATTATTCGCCAGCCACAGCCGAGAGGATGGAGGACCCTAACAGACAGTGCCCGCTTCACAAGAAACCTCACCCTCTACGAAAGTGCCGTGTGTTCCGAGAGAAACCACTGCAAGAACGCAAGTCTCTGCTGAAACAATTTGGAATCTGCTTCAGGTGTTGCTCCTCTACAAACCACCTCGCAAGGGACTGTAAAGTTGTGATCAAGTGTGACAACTGTGACAGCACTGAACATACCAGAGCGCTTCACCCAGACAGTTTCAAACCTTTGTCTTCGAGCTTCAGACAGGATCCCGAAGACGACAGCATTCATCACGGACTATCACCTGACGTATCTTCCAAGTGCACCGAGGTGTGTGGGGAAGGTTACGGTGGAAGGTCCTGTTCCAAGATTTGTCTGGTGAGTGTGTGTCACTCAAGCACACCTCAAAAGGCTGTGAGAATGTATGCCATCTTGGACGACCAAAGCACTAGGTCACTGGCAAGGGCAGAATTCTTCAACCTCTTTGATGTCCAGGGAGAGAGCTCGCCATATACCCCCAAGACATGTGCTGGAACAGCAGAAACGACAGGAAGGAGAGCCTCTGGGTTTCTGGTTGCAAATATTGATGGCAGCGTGAAACTACCTCTCCCAACCCTGATTGAATGCAATCAGATGATCAACAACAGGAACGAGATTCCGACACCAGACGCTGCACGTCATCACCCACATCTAAAGGCTATAGAGAGCCTCATACCTCCATTGGATGCGGAAGCTCAGATTCTGCTTCTACTGGGAAGAGACATCCTGAGAGTCCACAAGGTGCGTCAGCAGTGCAATGGGCCTCCTGATGCGCCCTTCGCTCAAAGACTAGACCTAGGATGGGTGATCATAGGAGACGTCTGCCTAGGTCGCGCACGCAAGCCGGACTGTGTGACCAACTTCAAGACAAATGTGCTCGAAAATGGACGACCCTCCCTTTTTGAACCATGCCGCAACCATTTTCTCGTCAAGGAGAAATTCACTGGTCCCGTCAATCCAACTCAGCACGTACCACCTACCCAAGGTGTACCCATCAAAGACTACTCTGTCAAAGAAACGACAGACACGTTGTTCCAGACGACGAAGGACGACGACCAAACAGCTCCATCAATGGAGGACAGAAAATTCCTAAACATCATGAACAATGAAGTCTTCAAAGATGAATCATGCAGTTGGGTAGCCCCTCTTCCTCTCCGCGTGCCAAGACCTCGGCTTCCTAATAATAAGGAGCTTGTACAGTCTCGTCTCGCATCACTGCGACGCACACTGCAGAAGAAACCAGAGATGAAGGAGCATTTTGCGACATTCATGGACAAGATGTTCAGGAATAGCCACGCAGAAGAAGCCCCACCGCTGAGAGAAGAAGAGGAATGCTGGTATCTTCCAATCTTTGGTGTGTATCACCCAAGCAAACCAGCCGAAACCAGGGTCGTGTTCGACTCAAGTGCTCAGTTCAAGGGAACTTCTCTGAACAATGTTATTCTCACGGGACTAGACTTGACCAACAGCCTGCTGGGCGTCCTGATTCGTTTTAGGAAAGACCTCTTCGCTGTCACAGTGGGCATTCAGCTGATGTTCTACTGCTTCCTGGTACGAGAAGACCACCGAAACTACCTGAGGCTCTTGTGGTTTCGCAACAATGACATCCGCGACAAAGTGGTGGAATATCGGATGAGAGTGCATGTCTTTGGTAACAGTCCATCACCGGCAGTGGTTACATACGGACTCCGGAAGACAGCACAGGAAGGAGAGGAAGGATTCGGCAAAGACGCCAGGGAGTTCGTCGAAAAGGACTTCTACGTAGACGACGGGTTGAAGTCTCTCCCTACGGCAGATGGTGCCATCGACCTGCTGAAACGCACGCAACAAATGTTGGCAGTTTGTAACCTAAGGCTTCACAAGATAGTATCAAACAGCAGCAGAGTGATGGAAGCTTTCCCCAAGGAGGACCACACAAAAGATCTAAGGGAACTCGACCTGAGTTACGACATTCCACCGATCCAACGCAGTCTTGGAATTTGCTGGGACGTAAAGAAGAACGTCTTCACCTTCAGGGTTCTAGTTCAGGACACACCATTCACCCGGCGTGGTGTCTTGTCAATGGTGAACAGCGTGTACGACCCATTTGGATTCGTGGCTCCAGTTACCATACAAGGGAAGTCTCTCCTACAAGAACTCGTCACAGAAACCTGCGAGTGGGATTCCCCACTTCCTGAAAACAAGAGGAAAGAGTGGGAGAACTGGAAGGATTCCCTTCAGGCTTTCGAGCAGCTAGAAGTGCCTCGCACTTATGCGGCCGTTTCACTTAGCACGGCTCAGCAGAAGGAAGTGAACATCTTCTCAGACGCCTCGACCAAGGTTGTAGCAGCTGTGGCGTATTTGAGAACCACCGACTCGGATGGTACGTGTCATGTCGGCTTTATAATGAGCAAAGCTAAGCTAGCGCCACGTCCAGAACACACCATCCCAAGGCTCGAACTGCGCGGTGCGGTACTGGCTGTGGAGCTGGCAGAGCTCTTTCAGAAAGAAATAGACACACAACTAGATGTGGTGCATTTCTACACCGACAGCAAGGTGGTTTTGGGCTACATACACAACCAAACAAGGAGATTTTACGTGTATGTCGGCAACAGGGTCGAACGCATCCGAAAATCTACACAACCAGAACAATGGCACTACGTTCGGACCGATTCAAATCCAGCAGATCTTGCTACAAGATTCGTGCCCGCAGCCCGGTTACAGGAGACGGATTGGCTGACTGGTCCAGAGTTCTTAAATCGTCAAGAAGAGTCTTCATGCGTCTTACAGAACGAGTTTGAGCTGATAGACCCAAACACTGATGCCGAAATCCGGCCCGAAGCAAGCGTCTATGCCACCAGTGTGACCACAAATGGACTCGGGACTAATCGTTTCAGTCGTTTTTCAAGCTGGCCTAGACTGGTGCGCGCAGTGGCATACCTCATACGTGCTGCTGGCAACTTTCGGCGCCCTTCTCCTGCCGAGGAAGCTGACCTACCACGTGGCTGCCTTCGAACAGGACAGCTATCCGTCGAGCATTTGTCTCTTGCAAAGAATCTCGTCATTCGCTCCGTCCAACTAGAAGCATATGCAAATGAGCTCGAGTGTTTGTCACAGGGGAGAGGAGTCCAGAAATCAAGTCCACTTTGGAAACTGGATCCTTGTATGATGACAAAGGCTTGCTGAGAGTCGGTGGTCGCCTCAACAACGCACAGCTGAGTCAAGAGGAGCGGAGACCTCTAATCATACCTGGTAAACACCACGTCGCCTTGCTGCTCGTAAGGTACTACCATGAGCAGATCAAGCACCAAGGTCGGCACATTACTGAGGGAGCAATCAGATCCACAGGTTTCTGGATCATCGGAGCAAAACGCTGCATAGCGTCGTACATACACGGGTGTGTCATGTGCTGCAGACTGCGAGGAAGACAGTTGGACCAGAAGATGGCACACCTGCCAGTTGATCGACTCAGTACAGAACCTGCATTTACATATGTGGTGGTTGTTATGGATATAAAAGTACAGTTTTTCTATAACATCCAGTCGTTCGCTATCTGAGGAGTGGTCGCTCTAAGGAGCGCCATGGAATCAGATAGACCCAAACACTGATGCCGAAATCCGGCCCGAAGCAAGCGTCTATGCCACCAGTGTGACCACAAATGGACACGGGACTAATCGTTTCAGTCGTTTTTCAAGCTGGCCTAGATTGATGCGTGCAGTGGCATACCTCATACGTGCTGCTGGCAACTTTCGGCGCCCTTCTCGTGCCGAGGAAGCTGACCTACCACGTGGCTGCCTTCGAACAGGACAGCTATCCGTTGAGCATTTGTCTCTTGCAAAGAATCTCCTCATTCGCTCCGTCCAACTAGAAGCATATGCAAATGAGCTCGAGTGTTTGTCACAGGGGAGAGGAGTCCAGAAATCAAGACCACTTTGGAAACTGGATCCTTGTATTGATGACAAGGGCTTGCTGAGAGTCGGTGGTCGCCTCAACAACGCACAGCTGAGTCAAGAGGAGCGGAGACCTCTAATCATACCTGGTAAACACCACGTCGCCTTGCTGCTCGTAAGGTACTACCATGAGCAAAGGTAAGCTAGCACCACGTCCACAACACACCATTCCAAGGCTCGAACTGTGCGGTGCCGTACTGGCTGTGGAGCTGGCAGAGCTCATTCAGAAAGAAATAGACACACAACTAGATGTGGTGCATTTCTACACCGACAGCAAGGTGGTTTTGGGCTACATACACAACCAAACAAGGAGATTTTACGTGTATGTCTGCAGCAGGGTCGAACGCATCAGAAAATCTACACAACCAGAACAATGGCATTACGTTCGGACCGATGCAAATCCTGCAGATCTTGCTACAAGATTCGTGCCCGCAGCCCGGCTACAGGAGACGGCTTGGCTCTCAAGTTTTGCAGTGCACCTGGCTTAACAAAGCGAATATATTTAGGTCGGGTTTTAATAGTGCGTCGTGACGCTCATTCACCTTGCTCGCTGGTGTCATGCGAAAAAAATAAAGGGCAAAAAAGTTAAAGGACGCATATTTTTTAGTCGATACCTTTTAGTCCTCTTGGTGACTTTTTACCGTACTAGAGAGTTTCAGGGAACCGGAACAAAATACGACCAATGCCTTGGATCGGTAGTGTGGACCGATCGCGTGCCTTGAAACGGCCTTGGGGGAACCGTATTTGTAGACGATCGGTACAGGTCGCGCCCCCTGGCAACGGATACCTGCACCGGCTTCATCGAGCAAAGACAGATTTGCGTGAGCGTGTATTGGGGGGAGGGGGGTTAGGAATCGCAAAAACCACAGTAAAAAAAGTTCGTATCTCTAACATATAGAAAATCTAACTTCGTACACTTACTAATAGTTCGCCTCGTCCCTGGCGTCCCACAGTGTGCCGCCACTGGCACTGCGAAGTTCTAAAATGCTCGTCTGCTAAAATAGCGGACGAGCTTTCCGAAAACAATGGCGCTCAATATTTTTGGCGACGACTTGGAGTTGGCTCTATTCGGCGAAAACAACTTAGAAAAAAAAGGTATTCTGTACGACTGTCTGCACTCTAAAAGGAGACGTTTGATGGCGGTAAAGGCATGGGGTGTTGATCTGGCGACGATCGACAAGGAGGACGTCGCACGGCACTTTTAGGTTCACGAAGGAGGATCTGCCCCATTTCCGACTGCAGCTGCTCATCCCGGAGACGCTGACAACCAACGGCTGGGTTCGGGTGTCAAGGTACGAGGCCCTCGCGATCAGGCTGAGGAGGCTTGCCTACCTCAACCGCCTCTGCGACCTTTCAAATTCAAGTTCTTTATTGATTCCTGAATCAGAGAAAGGAGACAGAGAAAAAAGTCACTCAAACGCTGCTTGACTAGCCTCTGCCCCCGCAGCAGCGCAGGGAAAAACAAACATAAACATAAAGACACTAGCGTTCAACATATTCATAAAACAGCACGAGATAGGCAACATCATCTTTATTGCTAAAAGATAATAAACAAAAGGGAGAAAAAACACACGAAAAAGTGAAAAATAAAAACACGCGCAAAACGCATGCGTTTGTGTTAATTCTGAGTTTTTATTATCTTTATTTTTTAGAGCATTCATTGGAGTAATTATTAGACAATATCTTCACATATTTGTTTGGCGGACATACCTAAGATATCTATATTGAGTTCATAAAAACGATTCAGAAGATGGGCGAGAATACATTTTAACATCTGATTTCCATAGTTGGTTCTTGAATGTGGCACTATCCATATCTCAGCATTATGAGTCGGATAAATTGCTTGTCTAAGTTCAAGTTCTCAAATTGTTAAATACATATTTTCATTGTCTAAAAGACCTTTTGTAGGAAAAGGCAAGTTTACAACTATAGCGATTAGGAATTTCTACTATACTCGGTTTATCGAAAAATCACTTGGTATCGTATGCTACGTACATAACATAAAACTAAATTTTTTTTTTAAAGATTACGTATTGGTTTTAGATATGTGGCAGTCATATTTTCCCACACTAAAAAGCAACAGTTATGGTATCTGTAAAAAAACGGACTTGAATATAAGTAGCATTACACAAATAGAAATTATGTTTTGTATGTATATATACCCCCACAAACTTTCAATAGCTTATTACTTATCTGTTCCGCAGTTTCGCCCCAAGACGTGTGTTCATTAAATATTATTCCTAGTACTCTTACATTTTCTACTATATATATTTCATTTCCACCAAGTGGAAGGATAGTCATGTAGGTACAATTTGTATTTCGTGATGTGAATAAGACGGCTTTAGTTTTATTTACATTTCTTTTTAAGGAATTTGATACCGTCAATGCATTTAGTTTATATAAATATTGATTTGCCCTGTGTATAATTTGGTCAGCGCCGTTCCCTGAACAAAAGAGAGCTGATGTTCGGCCGCCACTCTTCAACCCTTCCATCGTCTCCAGGTGCATCGTCACATCGCGCGCACGTTCGGTCACCTGTTGAGGGATCTGACCGCACAAAGATGGCTCCACCATGACCAGCTTGACGTTTTTGCCGAAATGAGCGTCACTCTTTCTTTTCTATGAGAGAGTAGCTCTAAGTGAAAAACACCTAGATCCCGCGCGCGCATGCATGAGGGCTGCAAAACGTTTGAAGACCCGGCAAAACGACTATACACACGTTCCTAGAATGTTTAGGCAGCATAAAAGTTGTAAAAAGGCACGACATTTTTGGGAAAAACATCCTCTGTGAGGAAACATGCTCCCGAAAAACATCCCCAAGGAAAACATCCTCCGGAAAAGAAACAGGGACGACAAATGAGTTGGAATATAGAAATCCAGGACTCGAATTTATTATAGCTATCCTAAAAGATCCCCCTAAAGCCAGAATTGGTGAAAAGGGGAATAGACGATGATATATATCCTTTAAAGGGCTGCTCGCAACTCAGTATTTAATCAAAAGTATTCATGTGTGAATTGTGATTTTGAATTTGAAGCGAATAATTACTTCGGCCGAAGATTTTCGAATCGAATATCGAATAGCTTCTCTAATGGCGAATTCGGGTGGTTGTTCGTCGGCGCGACAGTGCCGACGGCGCAGGCAACCAGAAACACGCCAGCAGCACACCACGTGACCCTCAGCACCCGAATACAAATGCCAGAATGTGGCGGTTTGCTTCGCGTTTTGCCCGCCTAGAGCGCTTGTTTTATTTTCTCCGCTTAACTACCGATTCGTAGGTGGGACAAGTTATATCCCATTCCATTACCGCCTTAGAGCCAAAAAAAAATTATTCCATTCGTGCTAGCACTCCTTTGTTATGATGCTGCTTCTGCCGGTTTCCCTGCTTTGTGTTTGTTGAATGCTCAAATTTCAGCAAAAGACAAATTAATTTTAGAATGAGTACTGGGAGTACTACTACAGGACCCATCACCGCTGAGGTTTGTTGGATTCTAATGGACCTCACCAACCCGACCAGAAGTGACTATTGGGAGTTATTTATTCACTTCTGTGTAGCCTTTTGAAACCACAAAGCAAAAACTGAATAGCAAGAATCGTGTTACTTGAAAAAAATCAGCACTTTATTATAGGTATCGTGAAGTACAGAGCAACATTGGTACCAACGAGGTACAGGGCCATAGAGCGATAAACCGGGGTTCCGGTCTGTACTCGAAAGTGACCCACTTCAGGCCGCTGCCATTGTGCGCAAAACTGACTACTCGTCACATGACCAAACCAAATACGTGACGTCGCAGGAAAGATGGCAGCGTCTAGGCAGCGGGTGGCCCCAGCTGGGCTGGAGCATCGGCCGGAGCTTGTCGCATGCGTTGTTCGTAGTCGTTGGTCTGAGCGAGTTGACTTGAGATGCGGGAGTCGTCACGTGAAGCTGGTCGAAAGCGACTTCGGAGTTTAGCGTGGTCTCTCACTTAGGTAAGACGTGGAAATACGAAGGAACGTTATGCATGTCGCTGGCGATCGACGGAGATATTGCTGATATTGCCGCGGAAGAGACAATCCGCCCTGCATTGCTCGGACCCAGGAAGAATGCAGCTGAGTGGCTTGAAGAAATACAGTGGTTGGCCCTCCTCATAAACTCAACACCAAGCATCACGCGACTTCCCTTTGCCACACGTCGAAATACGAACGAACGTATGCTTTTCGCTGGCGATAGACGGAGATATTCGAGAGTTTTAGTAAACCGTTTTCGTTTTCTCGCTCCGCTCTATGGGAAGCGGAGTCACCATCGTGCATGCGCGACCCGCTTTGGCATTTCAGCGTGAAGCGTCAGCTCCGCTTTCCTCGCGATTTTAGGAAGCGCGTTTCACTCTCAGCAAAGCTTCAGTAGATGGTGTTTTTTTTTTCTTGGACGGGAATTCGAAATGGGTGCTCGCCACATGAAAGCATGTTTGGGAGCGCGCTTGGCCGTTATGAATCTCGCTGCACTAAAATGGCTGCGCAGACTTTGTTTGAAACGGCGTCCTCCAGAAAAAGTTTCACGGTGGTCGGAAACCTCTGGTTGCTTCGGGAAATCGTTGGCCGCAATCCTTTCACGGCCCGTGAACGGTGGGAA